AGTAGATCCCAGCAGTGTCTACGATCACATTTTGCTTACGTACCGCCGATAACTCATAAGCGAACAACAAACAATCTGGAACATAACACGAATGTCTGCAGTTCTGCGCACGGGGGGAGGACTTCCATCTGAAAAGCTCGGGGATGTTCGTCGTCTCGCTTAGGGGTAAAAATCAAGAATTCTGTCTCACTTAGGGAGCTCAGGACGAAAGGCCACTATTTCAGCCGGCAAAGTATCTTTTAGGGTTGGACGTGAAGAAACAACAAAAACCGATGTATTTCCGTTTCAAAGTGGCATCTTTGAGAGTTTAGAGGTCAAATAAAGCTCGAGCCACGCCTAGCTTGGTCTCTTTTAAGGGTTTAATTTGATTTTTCGGAGGAGTATCCGCGACCTTTTCACATGGGAGGTTCCAACCACAGGGTCCTGCGTTATCGGAATGAAATTTTTTCGGTTCGAATCTGGAACTTTTCTCATGCAGGGAAGGCAATATCAGTGCAGTATTTTTCGGCACGAATCTCTGAAGTGGTATTGGCAAGTAAAGGAATTGCGTGGGAGACATGTCTGTTCCCTCACGCGTCTAATGGAAACTAAATACTTACTTGTTGGTCTAGTTATTGGACAAAGACATACACGATGCTTCGCTGGTAAAAGATTTCCTCCAGTACCTACAAGTGAGACGCAACAATTGATACGGATTATGTTTAATAGAAACTCATTGGTGAAAAACAAACTAGTTTTATGTTTCACGCCATTCTACACAAAAAATTGTTCCAATGGAAACAGCAATGAGCCGGAGGCTACTCTCCTAAGCCGTGCATTTTATTCTCACAATATGACGTCATTTCGACGTGCGCGCGCAGTAATTTCACTGAAAATGTAAATGGCCACCCAAAACAAGAAGTGTTATGAAAAGAATGGTTTTACACTGCGGTAAGCTTTGATAATTCTCACTGAAGCATGCTTACTCACATCCAGTTTAAAGCTGCTTTTAACATTCACTCAGAAAAATCGCACGTAATACAGTCGGGCCACTGTTGGTACCGGACGCTTCTATTATTGACTAGGAGCTTGCGCTGTTCGACATGTTCACTTGAAAACAACATCACTTTAAACCTACCTAAGCAAATTGCGTTTCTAAGTTCGTTCACCACAATCCCTAAGTGAGTCCAATCTGCGGTGAAGATGTGATTCTTGCGAGGTGGGGAAGCCATGATATCTAACTGACGACCATTAATGTACCGTCCCACCCCTACACAGTAGATCCTCACACCACGGGCCTTTAAGGCATTTGAAGGAGCTGCGACGTCATCCATCGAGCTACCGTCAGTGATAACTACGACAACTTTGGTGGTCCTTGACCGCCTGGGGTTCCTGCGAAACAGCTGATTTTGGGCCATCAACAAGGCCCTGCCAATACGGCTCCCTGATTTCGGATAATGGACACCCTTATTGAACCTGTTGAACAAAGCGCCGTTGTTCGTGTAACTGTTGAAGCCAAAGAGCACATAGGGCTTGGTACCAAACACGATTGTTCCAACCCGTGTATTTGTCCGTGAGACTGTAAAACCGAGCATTACGTCACGGACAAAGTCGACCAATCGGCGGAAGTTGCCAATGCCATATCGCTCGACACTGGCGGAGCCGTCGATCAGGAAAGCGAGATCTATGGCTGTGTGGCAGGCTGTTGAGAAACAAACAAAAACAATCAAACCTCTCCTCACGGTCCCCTCCTTAATACAGACACCTATATATGGCAAAAGGTTCACTTGGTCCCAGAGAGACCAGAATTAGCCTGTGACCACAACTATACTGTATGTCGCACTGCATGGTGCTGCCGGTTTTACTCTTTCGCTCAAATACTTTTTAAAACAAGCTCCTAGCTAGCTCAAAATAAAAATTACGATTTGAAAAGGATCTGGCTTAGTCTTTCACCAAACGTTGACCCAAAGGTGGGCAAAACTGAAACCCTGACTAAATTCTTTTAACTTTCCTTTCAGATAAGAAACTATAAGTTTGCATGTTGCATTGCTGTGGGATATTTTTTGGTGAGTTTTTTTTTTTAAGAAATGGATGTTAAAGTCCGTTCCAGGCTCACAAGGTGACCGGGGACCTACAGCAGCCCCAAACACAGACTCCCGTTTGGTTAATGCCATACAATTCACCCTTCTCTTTGACCTACCAAAAGGTGGAAGAGAAAATTGTGTGATAAGCCTAAAGGACAAACCCTGTATGTAACTGCTGTGATACAACCATCCAATACCCATATGCCAGCGTTTGGGCAGTTACGTAGTTTGAAGCTCCCAGTTTAGTATTCAGCAAGTTTTATTGTTACCGAAGATGAAACTTAAGTGTTAAGATATATAACCAACCATCAGTTTTCTTTGTTAGGGCTTCAAGATAACAATTATTATGGCATCCTACTTACTCATCGGAGCTGTAGGCTTTAAGGTTGCTAGAAAAAATAAAATAAAGTTTGTTAGAGATTCCATAGCCAGGCATTTGCTCCCAGGGGTGGGGCAGTTGGAATTTTATTTTACTGCCAGGGGACAGGGGAGAGGCAAGCATTTATTTGCCTACCCTCATGGTGGGGACAACCCTGGCCCAGAAAATTTGGCACCCTTGTGGTGTTCAGGTCTCGAATGTGGCAGATTAGGCAGTCTCGAATGTGGCAGATTGTTACAGATTAGGGTCATACCATATGTCTTAAATTTTCAGTGACATGCAACAATTTTATTGAGTATATCCTCTTTATTAGGCCATTTAAGAGTTGCCCTTTGCCTCTATGTCAAAACGAGTTTTTGTGCAAAACCATTGTTATGAAAAATAAATTGTTCTGTATGTTCATTTTCATGCAAATCAATCTCAATTTCATGGGAAAAGTTTTGCATGAGGCCTCATTTTGACACGGAGGCACAAGGTAACTGGGAACTGGCCTATTACTTAAAGATTTTGTAACAGTAAAAGTACATAATTTGTTCACTGTAAAAACTGTGCAAAATAATAATTCAAGAGCAACTATCGTAGTGTTATCAAAGAAACTTTTACACAATTAGTGTTGTGACCAATGGGACATAAAAGCACATGGAGACATGTAATGCTCTCGTCCTGACTAACTTGTAAACATGGAATGTTCTAAGCCCCGGTACATTAGAACCATTAATTTGTCCCCACCCCAGGGAATTTCCCCTTTTTGGGAGCAAAAAATAATAGGCAATTGTGCCTCTGTTTCAAGGTGAGTCTGTGTGCAAAACCTTTCGTATGAAAATGAGTTCAATTTGCAAGACAATGAACATGTAGGCGGCACATATTTCGATATGAATGGTTTTGCTCGAAGACTCATTTTGACACAGAGGCAAAAGGCAACTCAGAAATGGCCTACTGCTAATGGTCAAGGGCTGGACAAGGGGGTAGGGAGGGAACTGGTAAACAACATCCAAAATGATGTTAACCAATTGAATAATTAGAAAAAAATGCAAAATAATGACATCAAGAGTTAATCTACTGAGACAGTAAAGCATAAAAACACGACGATAAAATTATTAGATCAAGAATAAACAAAGAAAGCAGCATTTCATGGGTATCAGTATGCAAAGCATGATACTGTTCATTTGCAGATTGCGTTACTTCAGCCTGTCTGCAAGAAAGATTACCGGACTGTATAATTACATACATCAATTCCAATTTTTCTCTTTACCCTAACTCATTTGCTCATTGTTCTGCTTTTACCAGGCAATTCCATACACCATCGATCGACATCAGAATATACATGCAGACGTGCAAGTCGTGAAAATACTTTTATGAAAACTGAAGGGCTGAGGTAGTCTTTAAAATTATTGCTTCCAATACCCCGTTTTTCCTACTACACCACGATAATCTTCAAAACGATGTTTAACTTTCGTATCAACATTACCCAAAAATCAGCTCAAAAAATCACGCAGAACATTGCAACCGCAGGCAAGTCGATCGCCACGTGCACAACTTCATATCAAGACAGGACGAGATAAACAAATCTAAATACCTTTCCTTTCTTCTGAAATTTCTCAAGCCATTCATCTCGCTTAGAGAGATCGATGCTGTCCACTTAGAACTTAAAACAAACGTCCAATTTTCCGTAAAATAACCGAGAAATTCAACGCACTATAAGCGGTCAGTGATTGCTTGAGATCATTCAGTACGAGCGGGAACGAGCGTGACAGCTGTGTCAGATGTGACAGGTCAAGTAGCCGCTGCCCAAACACGGAAGTGCAGTAAACGATTGTCACGAAATATCAGGATATGAAGACGCAAAGATTAAGAACAAAATGATTTGTTTTTTCCAAGCCTTTGCCAATATTTTATTATTTTGTCACTGATTTTTTACGCAACGATAGTTTTTATTATTTAATTTCCTTTTTTTCTTGATTTTTTTTTTCTTTTACCTAATCAAACGCCATCTTTCGATTCACTTAGTCCTTACAAACCTCTCATATCATAAGATGGAAAATTAGGACAAAAATCAAAGGACATCTTAAAAAAAACAAACCCAATTATTTAATAAGGAGTGAAAATCATCACAGATGAAAAAAAAATACTCAAAAAAGAACAAGATCGAGAACGGTTACGATATGAGAAAATTAATGCCGGATCATGAACAAAGACATCTGTAAAAAATTGAAGTTGTAGAGCAAGGCGTACTTACGGCAAACAGGGCATCTCCCTCTAAAAGGAGTGACCAGCCTGGGTCTCGGTGGACGGGCATTAAGAACTTCTAGATCCGTTTGACTGGATGGAATTTCCTCGCTAACAGCATCGTCACTCTCTTCGTCCACATCTACTTCTGTTTTGTTTGCCTTCGCACCAGCAACTTCGTTCAACAGGGCTTGTTTATCTGCCTCATTCTCCGCAATAACGGCATCCTGTTCTACCTCATCTCTGAAGGGATTCAAATCGGGTTTCCTAGCTTCATCAATGGACTTTTCTTCAGGAATCTGTGCCCAGGGATTAGTGCTTTCCGACTTGTTTACTTCAACTTTGTTTACCTCAGGAGCGCCGGTAGTGGGCTGCACTGATGGTGTTGCTGTGGGGGAAGCTGTGGGGGTCACTGAGGGGGTTGCTGTTGGGGTCGCCGCGGGGGTCGTCTGTGGAACCGTCGTGGGGGTCAGATTTGCTTGGGCGATACTTTCTTTAGAAATACCACTTTCTGTTTCGTCGCTCTTCGCAGTGACAGAGGAGTTGTCTTTGAAGAATCTATCAGAGGAAACAAAGGCCTTTGAGAACGAGTTAAAACAGTTATCCACCGTTTAAAAAACAAAGTTTGCATTTCCGGACCAGGCCCGCTTTTGAGCAAGAAATAGGTGATGGCAACTTCACAGGTCAATTACGAGGCTTTCACAAAAGGTCACTAGAAATGCGTGCTGTTATACAGCGATAAAAATGTTCAGAATGTTTACAATGCAAATTAAAGCCAAAGGGAAGTATTTTACTTACTGATAAACCTCGTTTCCCCAAGGCCCTCCTTCGCCATCAGCTAAAGAAAGTAAACGCATTCATTTAGTTCCTCATCAGTGTGAAGAAGTGGCTCTTTCGCCGCTGTTTCTAAATATATTATATCTACAGTCTAGCTGATATCTTGTACATGTTAATATCACCTTTGCAGGTATAACTGACACCGTATTTCATGTAAGTCTTGTCCGCGTCTTTCCCAGAGAAACACTGGCCTCCATTTTCAAGAGAGAAGATGGTGAACTTGTTGTCCAAAGCTGCCTCAGCACATTTCATCAAGGCGTTACTTCTCTTCTTGTAGTCAGCCTCAAACAGCATCGCGTGTTTCTTTTCCATCAGAGGAATTGCTCGATCCCATGTGTCTTTCCAACAACCGAGACTCTTAAATTCTGAATGAGACAAATCAATTGAGTGGCAGCACAGATGGCCTTGAAAAAGTTAACTAAAGTAATTTATCACAGTGGAATCTCTCCACAACAGTCACAGTTGGGGACAGAGGAAAGTGGCCGTTGCAGAGAGGTGGCCGTTATGGAGAGGTAGAGGTAGGATGACTCCTGTGTTTTTTTTTATTATTATTGTTATTATTATTTTACGTTTTTTTGGGGGTGGGGGGTGCAACATTTTTGGCCGTTGTCAAGAGGTTATTTTGCTAGTTGGGACGAGTTTTAGTGGCCATTGCCGTTGTGGAGAGATGTCTGTTGTTTAGAGGTTAAATGGACTGTCGGCCGGGACCACAAAGAGTGGCCGCTGTAGAGAGCTCGAGAGGTGTTCGTTAGTGGAAGTTCGACTGTATATAAGTTGCGATGCATTATACGTACGTTTTCCTCTGATGTGATACACTTGGTCCCTGTTGGGCTGCAACTCCTGGTTTTCTTTATCATCTTCAGAGTGCTTATGGTGTAATGGAATCTGCGGTTGCGTCGGCCTTTCCATCTGATCTTGAATGGGCACAGAGAGCACCGCTGATTGTGATGGGGGTGTAGCCACCTGAACACCACCAGGTACCATGTTGAACGGCGACCCGGTATCCAATGGAGCGCTTGGCAAGTCCGACATCTCACTTGGTGGGCATGGTGGCTTGTCTGTGAAAATCGTATCAATGTTTATTTTCTTCAGAATACACAAAGAGAGAAAGAATAGACAAAGAGAAAAAGATGTCAACATTTTATTCTTTAGTAAATCTGAATGAAGGGACCGAACTAACTAAAATTGCCCCGTCTCTACTTATTCGTAACCGCACTGACTCCAAAGCTATAATAGATCACTCCAAGGTAACAGGAAGTTCCAGGGCTGTCTGGGCGTTAGGGAGCTTCCACTCAAAGGCATCCATTCCTGTTTCTAAACGCAGCAGACCTAAAACATACTTGGCACATGCACCAGACTTCCCCCTTCCCCTNCCCCCCCCGATGCTAGTATTGGCTATTCATGATAGGCGTTTA